CGGGCGTGCCATTGCTTGTTTTCCTTTTCTTATCTTTTGTATTGCGACACGATAGCTGAGCATTTTTCTACCTCCAGCTAACGTGTAATGATGATGATGATGGCATCGTAGTTGGCGCAAGAGAGAAGCGCCTCGAGGGAGTGGCTATCTCCACCCAAGACACGCTGTCTGACTTCAGCGTTGGTTAAACGGTTCAATCACCACACACGGGCGATGGACCGCAAGCAACGCTTCTCGAATACTGACAGTTGACGTAGGTCATCGATACGAGCAGGCCAAGTCTCACAACCGTGCAACGGTATAGCTCTAAGATTGGCAGGTACAACTCCTGCACTAACTGCTGGTGGTGGTCATCCAGAGGTCGTTCAGAAATTCAACGACCCGAGCAGCTGCATCAGTACCTGAGGATAGAAGATGAGATCACCAATCATGTAGCGAAAGCTCGAGGTACTTTTGCTAATCTTCCCCACTTATAGTGCCTGCGCGATATCTCTGTCGCTGTGAGGGGCAGAATTTAAAATACAGACGTCCGTTCAACTCACCTGTATGGTTGCGAAACCTGGCCATTCAGGTAGACAGACATAAAGAGGCTAGCAACGTTTGACCATCGCTGCCTTCGCAGCTTAGCTCATGTCTGGTGGGAGCACCGCATGAGCAATGAGTATGTTCGGCGTCATGTATTCCATGCTGGAAGAGCGAGTGTACCGCACAGCACCGCTATTTCACGCACCGGGCTCCGATGGCTGGGCCACATGTTACGCGCATGCCAACACACCGACTCCCGCGTCGTGCGTTTGCGCGTCGGATAATCCGACCACACTAGCGTTTTTGTTGTGACTTCCTTTGTTCCTCCTTTCCTCTTTAGCTTCCTCCTCCAATGCATTATGTGATGTTTATCATATTACTTTTTTAGTCTATGTAGTTTGTAATATGTAATATCTTATCTTTTTCGTATTTCGGCACTTTAGCCGTGGTGTGTTTCTCACTCTCAGCAAGCGTGTATTGATGATGACGGCCACAGGAATATTGACATGAATATGCGGAGGAGGATCACCGTTTCTCATGAGAGAGGAATTAGTGAAACTCGAACTGCCTTCCTCTCCGATAGGGTATTGAATGGCGCGTGGCCAGTGGTTGCTCGCTTGCTTTGTACACCGGAGGTCATCGGTTCGAATCTACGTACTTGAGGGTGACTTCGTGCGCTCACGCGACTGGTGTTGGTTTCATATCAGCGAAGCCCCGGTACGCCCTACCGGCGTACTGCTGATGCTTTTTCGACTGTGGGGTTACCTTGAATTTAGTCGGCTGCATTTGATTCTGGAGGTATCTATGCTTGGTGGCCGTTCCGGAAAAATTGCTTTTCGTTGATATCTCCATACAGCGGCTTCCGTATCCTCGTAAGAGCCTACGAGCGTTCCTCTTTAACTCACTACGACTAGGGAAGTGCGTTAGGGCTGCCTTATTTCCCAATTCTTCTTCAAATTTGTACTCGAAATTAAAAAGAGAGCATCAGCAGTACGCCGGTACGAAGTACCGACGTTTCGCTGCCGCGCAACTAGTACCAGTCGCACGCGGGCTAAGGATACTGTGAAGGTCGTCCGATCTTACACAGGCTCGACCCCACGCCCTCGGATTACAACGCAGGTTTGTGATCATGAAGGCTACTGGACGGACTTGAAATTATCATAAAGCACCGCCGAAGAGGCTGTGTCCAAAACTGTCGCTCGATTTGGAGCACATATGTGGTCACCGACCATGTACTTGTATGTGCTGATCTGCGGGTGCGTTTTGGTGGACGCCCACGACGACCCTGTGAGCGCATAGACACCAGACAGTTGGCGAAGCTCGATATTCTGAATGCCTATCGAAGTACGCTGGTATTCGGGTTGAGTAAGCGCTCACTTTATACAGTTGGAGTTCAGTTGTCGAATGTTCACCAGACCTTACTAACAGCAGGTTAATCCTCGCGTGGCAAATCAAATTGCCAACCTGGATATTCGGTCTCTTCCCAGCCGCTGGAACTCGTCCATGCTCGCCGGCACATTCCGGTTGGAAGCGAACATACTGAGACTCGCAAAGGCCTCAGGGTAATACTCCGTGCTGGCTTGCGGAGAGACCGCGAATCCTAGTGGTTTCCTCGTGCCTCAGAGATGGAAGTGACCGCTGCCGTTGTTGACCGTCGTCTGATACGGGAAACACTCCGCAGGAGACCTAGTGTTAGTGAAACTCTTTGTGATGAAACGACAGCCAATCTACAACTTTTACAAATGCTTGGAGCACTAGGCTGAGCAATTAGTAAGACCATTTAATCTGCAGTACTTGTCAGATTACTCACCAGCCAGCGATCGCCCTGCTCCCTGAGCTGTCTCTTTGGATCCGCCCTCACACTCAAAAGTCAGTGAGATCAGACTGCTGAATAAGGCCGCGGGACCAGATGGTCTTCCCCCAGCCCTCTTCAAATTAGGAGGACCCCTTGTTGCTGATTAACAAGGGTTATTAGGGAAACTGCCCCGACCAATTGGAGTCGCTCCGTTATCGTCCCGATCTGCATGAGAGGCTCACGTTCGGAATGCGACAACCATCTAGGAATCACTCTGATCTCCATTGCCTCCAAGTTACTTGCCTCTGTCATCCTTCATAGATTGGCACTCTCGAAAGCCGGATTCGTGAGGAGCAAACCTGGTTTCATCGGGGTATGGGGTTACATGGGTTACATCTTCACCCTACGTCAGTTGTTGGAGCACCGTCACATATATTGGCGGCCCGCCGTTGTCGTGTTCCTCGACATTAAACTTGCCTTCGATTCGATTGATCGATGTGCCGTTTTGGACTCTGTTAAGTAAAGATGTGTCCGAGACATATGTAACTATTTTCCGAGCGCTTTACGCACGTATCGTGGGCACAGTGAGCGCCTACGGCTAGCTACCGTCGCCCTTCAATATCTCCAGCGGTGCAAGACACGGATACCCGCTGTCGGCTTTCCTCTTTAATTACGTTATTGACGAAGTTACTGATATCGCCTTCACTGGACATGACTTCGAAGGTGTGGAGCTGCTCCCATGTGATCGGCCTCTTTACTTGGAGTATGCTGACGACACTGCACTCATCTGTGACAGCTTACAAACGTGCCAAGCAGCATTGCACAGATTAGCACTGGCTATCAACTGTTTCGGGCTATGCTTTGCACTCTCGAATTGCAAGCTTTTCCTCCAAGATTGGCATGAACTGCCTCCTGCGTTGACTCTTGGTGCGGATCAGCTAGAAGTACTTCTGAAATAAAACTACCTAGGCTGTTGTATCAGCGGCTGCGGAATCGAAGACGTCAAGAACTGCATCGCAACAGATCGAGGCGCTTTTACTAACCTTCGGCTCGTATGTGGTCTGCGCGACATCACTGTCTCCTTGAAGGGTAGATTGTTCAATGCAGCCGTACGTTCGACCCTACTGTACGGTTGTGAAACCTGACCCATTAGCTCGGTAGATGTAAAGAGGCCAAACTGCGAAAGCAGTTAGGCTCATATCTGGGGGGAACACCGCCTGAGCGCTAATCGTGTTCGGCGCCTTGTTTTGGTACAGGAAGAGCAAGTGAACCTCTCGGCACCGTTGTTTCACGACCCAGGTTCCGGTGGCTGGGCCGCATGTTGCACATGTTCATCAATACACGTTAGCTGAAGTTGATAATCGCACCTCAGCTTATGTGCCTCAACACAAAATGGATAAGATACTAAAATTACACTAAATAAACATTCAAAAAGCAGGTAATGTAATGTTAAATAACATATTATACATTTGCTGTGAGATGGGCAACACCTCAACGCCTGCATAGTGAGGCTCCGCAAGGGAACACTCTATGATCCAGTCCACGTCGATATCAAATAAAAACGAAGAAGTCTGGCAACCCTGACAAACGCCACTTGTTGTCGGGTAGATATCCGACAAGTCGCCGTGAATCCTGATGTGGCCTGTTGTTTTCGAGTATATAGCACGTAAAAATGGGATAAGGAAACTGCGAGGCTCGCCTGGTCCTTACGCAGGCTCGAACCCGTGCCCTCGGATTACAAGGCAGGCTTGTGATACTCAAGACTACGGGTCGACCAAAATGTTGGCGTGCACAGGAGTCTGGCCGTGCAGTTGACAATCCGATTTGCAGACCACCAAACTACATTTAGTCTTCTATACTTAATGAATGGCTGAGTAAAATGAACTTTAATGCAAAGGGTCGCAATGTTTTTGCCCCTATCCGCCATTATAGGAACTAACAGTTGTCACTACCGATGTGATGGGTGCTTTTTTCTACTTCGAATTCCTGTCTTGGATTACGGAGAGGGGGCTGTTACTTAATCTGTATCCGTGGGGGGGGGGGTGTGCTCCGGGTTACCAAATGTTCTTCAGGTGAAGCGCAACACCATTACTTGACTCGATTCAGCTATGGTGGGCATCAACAGCGGTTTAGTGTATATTGGCTACTCACTTCTAAATTCTGTCATTTACTACGGTGCATCAAACGTCGTATCACTTTTTTACGCCACACACTGTTTTACATGAAGTCTCAGATCGCCGTCGTATGAATGCGAATATGATAGTCACTACATGGTGATATGACGCTTTGATGTGCACGTCCATGTTTACTATCGGTAACCTATTTCCTTTCCATTGATTTGCAGATATTTCACTGTGATTGGGCCCATTGTCCCCAGTGTGACTTTTTGGCGCCTTTCTGTCATCATGCTTATGTTCGTTTCCCACCATATTGCACATGTGTTACTTTCTGCACTTGTGTTTAAAGCATTCCTACATTACACGCAGTTTCTTATTTCACGAACGTTTTCTCTTACAGTTTGGTACATTATTTCTGAATGACTAGCATCATGTCGCTCACTGTAGTAGCATCAATTAGGATCCGGGGAGCTATTATAATGAGTAGCAGTGACAGCGATTGATCCACATTTTTAATGTGTTGAACACTTTGTTTACCACAGGAGTTTCTCCTTATTCCATAGGGGCATGACGGTTACAAGTGGACGTGTTACATTGACGAAAGATGCTCAAAATCTGGTCGGCATCAGTATCGGTGGTGGCGCCCCTTTTTGTCCCTGTTTGTATGTGGTTCAAGTGTTCGACTCTACTCCTGCTGCGGAAGATGGAACTCTCCAGGCTGGCGATGAAATAACCGGAGTGAATGGAATTTCAGTCAAAGGAAAGTCCAAAGTTGAAGCAGCCCGTCTCATTCAAAGTTTTAAGGTGTGTGCTATTGGTGGTTTTTCTCCACCACAACATAGTTATTTGCCATTTGCACTGTATCCTCATCGCCCGGTCAATTTTCTGCCAAATATCAAGTAACCTAAACTTGCTTTGTCTATCATCGTATTTTTGCATTTATGCGATTCTCACGCACTCAGTAGAACACTGTCACTTTGAGTAACGCCGGTTGATTGTGGATTTTTGTTCGTTGGCTCTGTACCTGTAGTGTATCACGGTTAATGCTGATCTCCAACAAAGCATGTATTCCCATTTCATTGAGAAAATCATGGCCAAATGAGATTTAGCTTAATAATTCTTTTCGAGTAAACTCTCCCCGGTTCCAGATGTTGTTAGCGTCAAATTGCGCTGTGAACTTGATTTCTTGGTGGTTTGAACACCCAAATCAATAGCATAGGGGTATGCAATAGACGACGAGCATAGTAAAAAAGAGAAAGGCATTACAGAAAAGCTTGACAATATAAGACACTTAGCTCAGGTGACCACCAAATGGTTAGGTAACGTTGTCCTTTTTCCAAGGTGTGGGTTGTATGTGTCAGCTTATATGCCGTAACGGCGCTTCGCTGCCGCGCGACCACCACCAGTCGCGCGCGGGCTGAGTATACCGCGAGGACGCCCACCCCTACGCGGATTCGAACCGGTGACCTTATGGTTGGAAAGCAAACGTGCCAACCACTCGGCCACCGGTTGTATGTACCGTTTTGCACACAGTTCTGGCCTAGAATGACCTCCAATTTCGGATACGGTGCTTTCCCTCAGCATTTGTGTACCTGGTGGATAATGCATAAGCTGCAACCGTTGCGGAGTATGATTTGCACTGAGTGTGAGATACTTTTGCTTTCATTGTGAAGATTGCCACACTTAATCTTGTTCACAAAAGAACCCTATCATTTGACGTCCAGTCGCTGTTCACAACCATTCCGCTGCTCGAAACTGGAGTACATGTGCGAACTGGTTTGGCAACTGCCTTTGTACGCAAATTTTCGGGAAATGTTGACCAAAGATGTATTACTTAGGTGAACGGTAAACATTTAGGTTGCGTTCAATCATGTTTGTTACTGTTAGATCGATGGAGTGGCCGTGGGATCTGCTGGCCGATAACTTTATGGCAAAATTGACTCCCTTAGAACGCACATCAACGAGAGCGAAATGTATGCACATTCTATTGATGACACTTTCGTACTTTGCAACACGGAAATGCCTGCGGTGCAGTCATTAAAAGCTTTTAATGATGCTCTTGGAAATCTCCACTTCACTTTCGAGTATGAGTTTAGAAGCCGACTACCTTTTCTGGATGTAGACGTTATCCGTAACTGACAGATCTATCAGCAGTAAGGTGCACACAAAACATACATGTATTGGGAAATACACTAGCTTCCACAGTGCAGTTTCGTTACTGTACAAGAGAAATTTGATCCGATCTCTCACCTTCAGGGCGCGCAATATTCGTACAGCGTATGCGGTCAATGAAGAATTGCAGTGAATCAGTGACATCCTGATAGAAACCGGCTATGCAGCCAAATTTATCTCTAAGCAGCTTAGGGAACACAAATGCAAGCAGTCTAAGGGCAATTGCCATTTAAAGTCGATCCTTTTGCTTATACCAAATCTTAACGATTGATAGGTGCTGTTGAGAATTTTTTTTACTGAAACAGACCATTGCTTGCACGAGATTTGAAGACTGGACTACTCTCGTTAACAAATTCGATGCTCCTTTATCAGTAATCATGCTCCGGGGTTGTACGATACTTGGGTTGCACTGCGAGACGCCTATCTCAGAGAATTCGCTAGCACATCCCGATCTGGTTCTACAAAAGCGAGATGAGATCCTCAAACAGCTCTATTAGGTCACGCCCTGATTTTGACCACATGGACTCTTGAGATATCTTCTAAGTCAAATACTCGTAATCAGAACGCCTCAAGCAAGCTTTCCGCATTCAGTTCCTATCCATTACCGTCATTAGAAGCTAGAATTATGGGTGCAAAATCGGCAGATACTGCCTTGGCCAACGGACAACGTTACCTAACCATTTGGTGGTCACCTGAGCTAAGTACCTTATATTGTCAAGCTTTTCTGTAATACCTTTCTCTTTTTTACTATGCCTGTCATCTATTGCATACTTCTATGCTATCGATTTGGGGGTTCAAACCACCAAGAAATCAAGTTCCCAGGGTAATTTGACGCTAACAACACCTAATACCTGCCATGTAAACGTTTGGGTCTGATAAGAGTTTACTGGGAAAGGATTATTAACTTAACTTTTCTTTAGTTTGTGAGCTGTCTCATACAACGCCAAATGTGCATAGGAATCATTAATTGGAGCACCGAGTGATTAAATTTAAAAATGGATAACTTTTTAACCCAGTGCCAACTTCACAGATAGCCTCTACTTTAGTTTAAATTCACTCGTCCCTGCTCGCTCTCTGCATCATCCTGCCATATTGTTGACGTTTCTTCAATCTTTCATGAATCCGTCGGTTTGTGTGCACCTGGTGGTCATGTTGCTTGGCTCATCTAGCACTTGTGCATCATCTAGGGACAGTTCCGGAGAGGAAAATAACTGTTTTGCAAAACATTCGCTTGCCGCATATTACCACAGGTGGAACGAACTCACCCAGGACAGCATAACTATTATTTCTGCTTGTTTTGTTGTAGGATCAAGTTGTAATCAATTACAACAAGCTTCATGCTGACCCGAAACAAGGAAAGTCTCTGGATATAGGTAACTGTCTATCGTACCTATCTTTGTGACCTTCCCCGTCAGTTCTGAAAAAGGCGAAGCACCGTGTAGTTGAATCAATAGAAGCGAGCACTGCGGACGCGCTAGGTCTGAGTCGGGCGATCCTCGTAAACGGTTTGTGAAACGACAATCGCCTTAGTGCTTCTCTTTTTTCTACAGACGGTCTAGTGAAAAAATTTCAAGAACTCAACGAAACTGCGAACATGTTTTCGGGGATAGTTGCTCATGTAAAAAACCTTATCCGTGCATCTTATGAGTTATCGCGGATCTACGGTGGTAAGTAATGCCAGTACCATATGTCGTTTGACAACGGCTATTCTACCGTTGGCGACAAAACCTTGTGTTTTTTTAACCAAACGCTAGTCATATTCGTAAAATCCGCCATCCTAAGCAGATTGAGAAACTCCTAACTTTCAGTACATTTTTACCCTAGGTTTTCCCCGTTCCCTACTGTGTTTTTAAAGCACTACATGCTTTTCTCTCACCTTTTGGTTATTTCAAACTGAATGTCCTGTACTATCTCGAACTAGGCTTGGTGCCGATTGGTAGTTCATAAATTCGGAAGGTTTTGAATACAAACCGGTTTTATATAGGTTCATCTTTTTGTAACGTTTCGCTCGTGGTCTGGAGAAGCTCTCGGGCCAAGAGTAAAAGGTTGCGAAAATGCTAAATTATTCAAAAACGGTTAGCATTTAGGACCCTTTGAGCTTACGCTTATTCTTTATTGACTCAGTTTCCATACATTTTCCGGGTTACCTAATTCCTTTTTATCTTCAACTTGCTCAACTGGATTACTTGATTGGTTGCATACACTCCAATTCCGGATTTCATCGTGTATTAGCGAATAGTTCCTGAGCCACTTTGCAACGCTACGTTCTACTGGACTTCCTTTCGCATTTGGCATTGCTCAGCTGTGCTATTGAATTCAATTCCGGTTGCTCTTATTTTTAGTTTTCGATGACCTTGTCGGTCGCCATTTCTCTCGCCGTACGCTGGTTTAGGTTGGAATCTATTCATGCAGTGTCTGGTGCTGCTTTTCTGGTATATCTACTTTTCGTCACTCGGATATGCATTTTTTAAGAATTTAGTATTCGGGCCACGCGGTAGTATAAGTTTGCATTAGCGACAAAATGGCTTCCAAACACTGTCGACCACGGTTATATTCAGTTTTGTTCCGTAATCTGGCCAACAGAACATTACTTCTTTGTTACTTGCTGATGTAATCTCATCTTGTGTACAAATGTGGTATTTCACAAAAGGAATTGCATCTGATGGTGAACGCTAAGCTGCGCTTTTAACTGCCCACCGTCAGTAACCGCCGCTGCACCCATTGAGGACAGGGACCGTTAATCTCTCGTGTTACTGACAAACCGCATCCACAGAGATGGATTTTGTTTACATAAAATACACGCTTACACACACCAACAGTCTATGTTTGGGATTTATGCAAGTGCACAATATGAAACTTTTCACATAAATGTTCCGTTTGGCCACTTAGTAAGCTTTCATTGTCATTTTCCACCGGACCCGCGATCGTTTTCGGCTGATGCACTGAAATACATCTAAGGGATTAAATGGAATGAAAAAATTGGAGTGGTGAAGCGCTCTACCAATGTTGTTGGCTCACATCAGTCACCGACAAACGGCGAACCACGTTACGCGAATGCTACCACATATTAAACACATTGGACTTCATGTTACATTCACGTCCAGTGGAAGGAAAACGCACTTGCTAAATTGCCCATTGGGCGTCGGTGCTCGCAACACTGTTCTCTGTGCACTTCCTTTCAAAATTCACGATTTATTCCTGTGGAATCACTCCACAGGATCTGAGACATCGATTAGTTTGATCGAAGCGCATAGACGGGTTCCGATGTGCGCTGAGATACAGCGTGTCCGTAAATCCCTGAAACGACATCTGGCAACGACGTCTTTTAGTTGATCGAGAATTTTGGCAGATTCCAAACGCCTGTGAGATGGAGAAAGCCAGCGCTATTAGAAACAGCCGACTGCTATTCCGGCTCATCCGGAACACGGGTCCAAGAAAGCCATCAGTTGGGCAGACAATAGCTGAGAAACATGGACAGTTGGTCCATTCTCTCCGTTGTCGACTAACCCGTTGGGCGGAACATTTTGAGGATCAGTTTAGCAGGCCTGCCGCTTGCCGAATCATCCTAACCGACGTGGGAAGTAGATGTCACACCCACTTTGAAAGAGATTCGATACGAGCTCGCGGTGTTAAAAAGAAACAAGGCTCCGGGATCCGACGACCTTTCCCCATCTTTCTTGGAGGTTATGACTGTTTGTTGACTGGACTTACTTCTCTATTTAACACAATTTTGGACACTGAAGTAGTGCCTTCAGACTAGTGACTATCAACTATGCCCATTTTCACAACGGGTCAGCGTACTTTGTACGAAATTCATCGAGACACTAGCCTTATTTCTGCTGTCCCGAACATTCACGGTATCATTCTTCGACAACTTACTGATCCCTGTGAGAACCGAATCACTGAAAGCCAGGCTGGCTTCCGCTATGACCGTGGTTGCATCGACCACATATTTACTCTTCGCCAAATTTTAGAGCAGGGACACGTATGCAGACAACCGAATATGGTGGTTTTCCTTGACTTGACAGTCGCCTTTGACGCTGTTGACCGCGCCAGCTTGTGGCACTGCCTATCCATGAAGGGCGTGCCAGCTAAACTCCTTTCCATTCTGAAGTCTCTACCGTGACTCCCGAGGCCGTGTAAGGGTCTACGGGAAACTGTCTCCTGAGTTCCCCACGACAAGTGGGGTTCGCCAGGGTTGTCCTATATCTCCTTTCCTCTTCAACTTTGTGATCGAAATGATCATGAATGACTCGGTTCTTTCAGACTATTCTGGAGTGGAAGTTCTGCCAGGCGACCGACTGACAAACCTGGAGTATGCGGACGACATAGTTCTCCTTGGGTCTGATGCATTGGCTATGCAAACACTACTGCACAGATTTGTGCATTGCGCTGCACGCTTCGGCATGTACTTTGCACCTTCAAAGTGCCAAGTTCCGTTGCAGGACTGGGCCCACACCGATTTTAGCTATTTCCGAACAGCCACTGGACTTAGTAGATCGGTTCACTTAGCTTGGTAGATGTGCCCCCTCTAGTGATTTCATCAATGAGGAAGTTACCTCGCGAATCACCAATTCTCGTGTGGCTTTCCAGACAGCCATTTTTAGAGACGGCGGGCTATCAGTCTGTCAGCGAAAGGTAGGGTGCATAACGCTACGGTAAATCCGGTCTTATTGTATGGATCAAAGACCTGGCAGGTTTGCAGTGAAGCTATTAAACGCTTGTCGTGTTTGACCACCGGTGCTTGCGGAATATTGCTCACGTTTGGTGGGAACACCGAGTGAGTAATGTTGACGTCCCTCAGTTGATTTTTGGCAAGAAACCTTCTGTTGCCTTCCACAAGTATTTGATAAGTCTTAGTTGCTTGCGTTGGCTAGGCCATGTCCTGTGTATGTCCGTTGACTGCCTTCCTCGGCGTGCATTATACGCCATTGCCGCACCAAATTGGGCAAAACCGCGAGGTCGCCAGTCCATGACATGGCATCGAAGCTTGAAGAGATTGACTGGGACTTGGTCAGACGGGTTCCTGCCGTCTTTCTCGATGGTCCACATCAGTGGCTGGAAAATGTGTTATACATGGCGCAGATAGGAAGTCAGAGGCGTTCCTGCATTCGACTTCTTTCATCTGGTTGTTCATTTCCGTTCCATTCTGATTAGTCTGACGCACTTCCTTCTTGCTTTCATTTTCTCTGCATTCTCTTTGTACAACCTTACTATTTAACTGTTGTTACTTATTGCTATTCTTGCGATGTGAGTCGTGGCAACTGGATCCACCCCACTTCGGTGCTGGGATCATAGTTGATCAACTTAACTTAACTGAACTAAATCAGTCCACGGGCATTTTAGATTACATTTTGGTCGGCCCAATTCGAGTTGTTGTCGAAATGTTACTGGTAACGCTAGATCGGTCAAGTGATCAGGCTGTTCAGCCTGTATCCTCGCAATTGACCCGAATATTAATCAACTTGCTCTTCTACAGGATTTTAATAAACATGGAACTGTCATACTGTCCGGGAGAAAGTAAGAATCGCCTTGGAAATCCACTATTTTAGCGATTAATCGGTTATTAACGATTATCGCATCGATTTCGAACGTTCCGGAATGTTCTGCACATGATTAGAAACCACCTGACACCTCGACAGAAGATATGGGGAACCACTAAACTTGGTAGCTGACCTTCCGATTCTAGAAGTCGAAGGTCAGTAAGAGACCTATAAATACAGCCAAGATCCGCAGTAGTTGCACAGTGTTTGTTGGCGGCGATAAATACGTTATTTTGTCATGGTCATTGGCGTTTTGCTTTTTTCTTCGGTTGGGCTAGAAGTTCTGTTGAGCAGTAAATTATTTTTGGAATTTAGTCTAGGGAGAAGATTATAACAATAGCGTTCAAGTATAGAGCACGAAGGATGTTTACATATCTCGTGGGCGCACTTTACTGGGCAATTATTTCGTACAGAATGCATCCACCGACGGAATCGAACGCACTCTTGAAATCGATGAACACAGCTATTGTCGGTCTGCGGTATGCGTGGGGTTGCTCTAGCACCTGCCGCAAAGTGAATATATTGCCTATACAGCCACCTGGGCAGAAACCGACCTGCTCTTCCCTAATCCGAAATTCCCGTTCCACAGTGAGGCGACGAACGATAATCGATGCCAGTAATTTTGTCACAAATGGTGTTAGGCTAATACCCCTGTGGTTAGAACAGTCTGTGCGACTGTCCTTCTTGTATATTGCCACTAGCTAGCTGGCTAACGTGTATAATGATGATGATTGTTTACAGTCATCGAAATAATTATGTAACCGGCCCTTCACCTTCACATCTAGGAACTGGGCCTTATCCCTTTGCCCAGCATGATTTTCGAAGTGCTCACTCATGCGCTACGAACTTGCGCGTAGCCAAGGAGAAGTGGTTAAAGTCATTCGATCTCGGGAATCGCTTGGATCACGTGTCTGTTGACTTTAGCAAGGTTTTGCATGAGCGGCTCCTTTATAACCTCCGAGGCGTCAGCGTCGCTGGGAGTCTTCTTTCCTGGATCTCTGATTTTCTGCTCAGTCTTTCCATGCGAGTAACAATGAATGAAACACCTGTTCCTGTACTTAGGACCAGCGGTGTCCCCCTGGGCTCTGTCCTTCGCCCCGAGCTTTTCAATATCATTATCGACC